AGAAGCTCAGTAAATATTATTGATCCATCAATTTCATCTCTAGATGGCCAAGCTGCCTTTCGCTGTTTCTTGGAGTCTGAATTCAGTGAAGAGAATCTGGATTTTTGGATGGCGTGTGAAGAATACAGGAAGCTCCGTGGTTGTGAGAAACTCCAAGACAATGCTAGGAAAATATATGACCAATATATCACCATCCATGCCCCTAAAGAGGTAGTAAACGCTTACAGAGGTGTCCCAAGCTCTACATATCGAAATTGTTATCTGAATTAAATGTTCTTATTTCTGAGATGGAACTGATCCATTATGATAAGGGTGAGGAATCTGTGGCCCTTGAAGTGTTCCCAGACTCCAGTTCCCATCTTCTATTAGCACTGGCTATGTAGACCAGGTTGATGGGACCTGGAGTCCAACAATAGCTGGATGGGGCCAGGTTTCCCATCTTTGATTCAGGAATTCTTCATAACTATCTGGCTCTCTGTGTGTATCTCTGTGCATGTATTCTTCCCAATTTTGTTCTCAAAGGAAGCAATGAGTAATTTTAGCCATTTTCTTCCCACTGCAAGAAAGTCTTCGAAAACTTTGCTGTTTTTGAAGATTATTCAGGATTTATTCTGTGAAAAATTCACACATGCTTTTCTTTGCACATTCTACATATTTTCTACACAGAAAATAATAATTCTGCTCAAATATTTAAAAATATAATGCTATTTCCTGCACAGAAATTGCTGTAGTTAAGGATTTATTCTATGCCAGTGATGACAAACCTTTTAGAGACTGAATCATCCCTAAATCATCCGGCAGCCGCAAGGATGTAGTAGTTGGTCACGCTTGTTCCCATTATTAAATCGTCATGGAGGTGTTCCCCTTGCCTCTCCCATCATTAAAGTGTTTGTGGAGCCTGCCATTTGTTAATAACAGACATTTCCATTATTAATAAATGGCAGGCTCCGAAAACGCTTTAATGACAGGAGAGACAAGGGGATGCCTCCATGACAATTTAATAACGGGGACAAGTGCAATCGGCTATCACACCATCGCATTTGCTGGACAATTTTGGGATGTTTTACTGATGGTAAGCCTCCGTGTGATAATCTTCTGAGTGCCCAAACTCAGTGGTGTTCTTGCACTGGATATCACCAGATATCGGGTTTGGGACTTCTAAGGGCTGGGACTTCTAGCGGTGGGACTTCTAAGGATGGGGCTTCCGGGAGGAAACACACAAGGAAAAAATGGAGGACCTGACCAAATAAATGCTCAAAACAAAAACAAAACAAAAAAGCCACTCATATAAATATAAAATCCATTCTTCGCAGCCCTGCTCAAAATGGAGGACCTTTTGGAATCCCTCCTGGACAGGA